ACTATCCACCTCATCTTCTCCCTCGTCGGTCAGATGCACTGTGGGATCGGAGCTGTATCGCTGTGTGACATTGTCCTCTCTGGCAGGACAGCAGGGCAATCCTCTACATCCTGAGCCCTCAGCCTCAGCGTAAGTATCCACACAGGCATCAGCGGGTTGTGAAGCACCAGACACCAGGCCAGAACTCTGTGCAGCCTCTGACCCCTGACCTTCCACCTCTGCCACACTTGTCGCACTCTAAAAAAGGAAAGAAAACGAGATTGTCAGGCCAGGACTGGGTACTTTTAACCCCAGTTATAACAATTTCCTCCCTCTACCCTAATCCTATCATAAGGGCGGCCCCTCTGTCCAAGGGCTGCTGCTCAAGAGCAAATCCAGCGACTGTCAGCAAGATATTTGACTGTGAAGGCATCATTATCCAGCCTCAGCCAATACAAAGACACTAATTGCCAGTTGGACTTCCTTTTTAATAGTCACTCCTCCTCCACCCCACCATCAATTGTTCTCCGTGATCAGGCATCAGTGTGAAAGGGACAAGAGACACTGCCAATTACAAATTATTACAGCAACACTGCTGCATGATTTGGCATTTTGTGACCTCTGAAAACACAAACACCTGCTCCTGATCCAGACCTCCATTACTAAAGCCCAGACTGGAAGGAATTAGACTCTGCCACTGGGGGCTGATCTAGGTGTCTTGACCTTGTCTAAAAGGAGCTGGGTTAAACACTGTTACAAATATTTACTCTGGAAGATGACATTCTGCTCCTGCAATGAGTGCGGGGCTGAGTGGTGAAAAACCCCTGATGTGGTACCAGATACTCTTCAGCGTCGATCAGGTCCTGCATGTCCTCATCTTCCAGCAGAGTTCGGTAGAACTTGCTGTCGGTGGGGCTTTGAAGGACCATCTGCTCATCACCCTGAAACAAGACAATAGCAAGATCAAGATCAGCTCAGCCTCTCTCAGCACACATCTGACTCTGTCTCGCATCCACTGAAAATAAGATGGGGTAGCATGAAAGAAAGGTAACGAGGAACAGGAAGCGTGACAGAGAGAGGAGGAGGGAGGAGGATGTGAATGGGGGGGAGGAGGATGTGAATGGGGGGGGGGGGGTGAGAGGGGGGGGGAGGGAGAGGGCAGTGACAGAGAAAGCAGGTCGGAGGGGAAGAGAACAGGGTGGGGAGGAATGAGAGAGAGAGAACAAACCACGGAGGAGAGAGGGAGAAAGAGAATACAGGGTTAATGGGAGGATTCTCGGCAGTGTGGAGGAACAGAGGGATCTTGGGGTCCACGTCCATAGATCCCTCAAAGTCTTAGCCCAAGTTGATAGGGTTGTAAAGAAGGCATATGGTGTGTTGGCTTTCATTGGCAGGGGAATTGAGTTTAAGAACCGTGAGGTTATGCTGCAGCTCTATAAAACTCTGCTTAGACCACACTTGGAATATTGCGTTCAGTTCTGGTCACCTCATTGTAGGAAGGATGTGGAAGCTTTAGAGAGGGTGCAGAGGAGATTTACCAGGATGCTGCCTGGGCTGGAGGACAGGTCTTACGAGGAAAGGTTGAGGGAGCTAGGGTTTTTTTCATTGGAGCGAAGAAGGATGAGAGGCGACTTGATAAAGGTTTACAAGATGATGAGAGGCATTGATAGGGTGGATAGTCTTTTTCCCAGAGCAGAAATGACTATTATGAGGGGGCATATTTTGAGGTGATTGGAGGAAGGTATAGGGGAGATGTCAGAGGTAGGTTCATTTCACAGAGAGTGGTGGGCGTGTGGAATGCGATGCCGGCAGCAGTAATGGAGTCAGATACTTTAGACACCTTTAAACAACTCTTGGATAGGCACATAGAGGATAGTAGAACGTAGGGTATGCAGGGTAGATTGATCTTAGTAGGATAATAGGTCGGCACAACATCGTGGGCTGAAGGGCCTGCACTGTTTTATGTTCTATGTTCTACGTTCTAGAATGAGGTGAGGAGAGAAGGGGTGAGGAGGGAGAGAACGCTGGGTAAGGAGGGAGGAGGAAGAAGAAAGAAAACACAGGGAGAAGGGAGAGATCAGTGAAGAGGAGGGAAAGAATTGAAGGAGGGAAAGAGAATTTGAAGGAAAGTAACGTAGACAGACAGAGATGGGGTGGACAGAAAGATACATAGGACTGAGAGAAAATAAGGAGAGAGGAAAAGAGAAAAATGAGACAGAGAGAGAGAGAGAGAGAGAGAGAGAGAGAGGGAGAGAGAGAGAGAGAATGGATGTTTGTGCAGGAGTTCGAGCAATTAATTGTGCCCATCAGGAAGGACAATGTACAAGCTCCTCCAGTACTCACTTGGATTACCACATATCGGGGGGGGTCTCGAGCCATCTTTGTAAACTCTGTCACCAATTCCCGGAACTTGGGTCGACATTCCGAGTCAATCATCCAGCCTAGTAAAATAATCAGGAAAGCTGTCAAGAACACAGCTCTGCAGGCAAACATCCTGCTGTCAGGATGGATTTCAGATTTGGTGAGTGAGGATTGTAATGAAAATAATGATTCTTATTGATCAATTGTTGTTATTCCCTCAGAATAGCCTGAAATATTTCAATGCTAGTGAAGAAGTTTCTCAAGTGTAGCCACTGCTTGAGACAAGGTTGAGTTTGGTTATTGGTTAGGTTAAACTATTTTTCTTGATTTTGAAAGGATTCACATTGTCAGGATTGCATAATTAGACTTAAAAAATTGTTTGCAGATACTTTTTGATTACAAAGAAATTGCAAATTTGAATTTGCTGCTTCACTCTAACCTCTTTACTCTTGACCTCAGATGCAAATGAAGGGCAAATGATGTTGCCAGAACCAGCAGCACCTCTTTCATTCAGCACTCTACAGCATTCAGATTCAACATCAAATTCAACAATTTCACATCATTACCACTGCCTGTATTATTTGGGACAACATCTATTTGCAATCCTGCTGTTGCTATTTACACCTTTCCTAAGCCCACCTTTTGCTTCTTGCCTTGTGTCATTAGCATCAGACCTTCCTTCTTGTGACAATGCTGTGGCTTTCAAGAGGTTATTTTGTCCTGTTTTTTTGTTGGAGAGGTTATAAGGCAGATGTACCAAGCTGCCTACTGAAGACCACTTGAGTAAACAGCTTGTGAGGCCTTGGGGTTTTTAATTGAAGTCTGAACAATGGCCTAGTGGCATTATCGCTGGACTGTTAATCCAGAAACCCAGGCAATGTTCGAGGGGTCAGGATTCAAATCCTGCCTCATAAGATGGTGGAATCTGAATTCAATAAATGAATCCATTTTTGATTGTTGGAAAAACCCATCTGGTTCACTAGTGTCCTTTAGGGAAGGAAACTGTCATCCTAACCTGGTATGGCCTACATTCGACTCCAGACTGTCAGCCATGTGGTTGACTCAACTGCCCTCTGGGCAATTAGGGATGGGCAATAAATGCTGGCCCAGCCAGTGATGCCCACATCTCATGAAAGAATTTTTTAAAAAGCCTGGATGTGGCCAGCCCTCACAGACCAGGTTCTGCAGTTTTTTTTTTTTTTTTTTTTTTTTTTTTTTTTTTGTTTTTTTTTTTTAAAAAGTTTTTAGGTTTAGCTTTAGGCAGAAGCTATTGGGGTCTCAAAAGAGTTAGAAGCTTCAGTGAAATGTCTCCCGGCTGCTACATTCTCTGAATTTTCTCTTGATGTGTTTTTTCCTTCTGGATTGGAGAACTGCATGTGAGAATCTGTGTCAGAATTTTCTTTTTTTTTGCCAAGGGGTATGTTTATGGGATGTTACCAAATTGGAATAGTTAATTAGCAATAGTTACTGTATCTGTTATTCTGCAAAGTTTTCCAATAGAGTTAAGTTATTGTAAATTCCTCTTCCTTTGGCTCTGTTTTAACTGCAGTATTTGAATAAATTGTGCTTTACTTAACGTCGAGTAGTTTGATCAGTTGCATTGAATTGGGAATAGACACTTTACATTTGCCTTTAAAATAAGAAAAAGTTAGGGTCTAGGCTACCTTCTTAAAATATTTTGAGGGGGTCTGATCTGGCCCATAACAGTTTTTAAACCTCTCTAGACTTCCACCCAGTCATAGGCCTTCATTTTAATCCTTCCCTTTCCTCCTCACCCTGCCTCAGGACTGGATTAAAATCTGTTACATCTCCATTTTCCAGTTTGGATGCAAGACCATTTAACTGAAAAATGAATGACTAAAAACTGAAATACTCAGCAGCTTTGAAAACAATTCTTTCCCCTTGATGGAGCCAGGCCTGATGAGTATTTCCAGTATTTTCACTTTTTAAGCCTAGAATTAATTTTGTACTCAGCTGCTAAACTTTGGGAAAATGACTTGTTAAAGGTATAGATGAGCACAATTCTCCTGTTTCCCAGGGTTCAGTCCAGTACCCAGAGATTTTCTGCTCTGTGCAGTTCAGCGCCCCCTACTGGTTTTGAGCTACGTGCTGAGCTGGTGATCCATGTTGCGCCCAACAGATTTCCAACTCACATTTAACCATGATCATGTAGACATCAATGGTGCAGATCGGGGGCTGTGGGAGTCGCTCTCCCTTTTCCAGCAGGTCAGGGATCTCACGAGCCGGGATACCATCATATGGTTTAGCTCCAAATGTCATCAACTCCCAGACCGTTACTCCTGCAGATAGCCAAACATTTTGTTACGTTATTGCACGAAAAGCATGGCACAAACAGATAACAAGGGCATTCCTGACTATATGACTATACTGGCCGTCTAAACCTGTACATCCTGGAGCTCCCTCTGTCTGTGTACTCAGATACTCAGACGTGCTCAGTGCAGTTCCATACCTAGTGCTAGCATCTCAGGTAGCCAGCTCCCTCACTGAAACTGAAGTTTACCAGATCATCAGCTTGTCACAATATTAACCTGACGGATTCAGTTAGAATTTCCCAGTAGTCAAACTGCAGGTGAAGCTCTAAGGCACTCGCCTTATCTCCCATATACACACTAACAATCGGACTGTAAATTGAGAGGTCACAGTTAGACGTTTACATACCGTAACTCCAGACGTCACTTTGGTGGGTGAATTTTCGGTGCAAAATGGACTCCAACGCCATCCATTTGATTGGAACCTAACAGAGTAGCAGACAAGATGAATCATTTTGCATACTGTAAAGCCAAAAGCATTGATTCTTACTGGTAAGAAGCATGGAACAGTCTATGATCCTAGTCACTGCAAACACAAACATGCCAGCTGCAAAAAGGAAAGAATTTACAGAGAATGAAGTACAGTCGGGTACATACTGAACTGGTCGACAAAAGGAACAAAGGCTAAGGTGGAAGCTCTCACAATCTTCATGGTTTCCCTCATTAGCTCTGAATTATCAAAATTCTAGATTAATCAGTCCATTCAGTGTGTGACACTTCCTCAAACAGCAGAGTCTGAACTGAGGTTGTTCCACCGTGAAACTGTCAACAGGCAGCATTTACCTTCCCGCCATCTGCACGATATTCTGTCTCATCAATATCCAGCAGCCTAGCAAGCCCAAAGTCTGTGATCTTCACATGGTTTGAGCTTTTCACAAGGACATTCCTTGCAGCCAGATCACGATGGACCAATCGAACATGATCTTCCAGATAGTTCATTCCCTGAGTGACAGTGAAAGTGAAAACCAGTTAGTGCAGCTCCAGCTCCTCAGCTCACCTCTAACTTTATATCACTACTAAGAATTTTCAGTTTTTAAAGTATAAAAGCAGACAATGGCATATCTGCAAAGTCTTTTCACAAATATCGAGAGACTTGCACTAAAATTTGGACAGTCATCTTGTACGGTAGTCAACATATGGCCAACTCACCGAATCATGACTTAATGCCAATAAAACACCATTTGCGGGTACGTCTAGCCCCACTGGCAGGAGACACAGCAGAGCTGGCAGCATAGAGGTATATAATCAAGAGAATGTGGTCCTGGGAGTCCACACCATTGATTCAGGATCTAATGGTATCATGATTTCTAATGGTATCATATCAAACAGGGCAAAGAAAACTCTTGTTGTTTACCACCAATCATTGCCACTCTTAGCTGATCATTCAATCTCCAGATTGAATGCAACTTAGAAGCAGCAAGGAGGGTGGCACGGGCACAGAATATACTCTGAGTGGGCAACTTCAATGGCCATCACTGACTAGCTCAGTACTACCACAACCAAATGTGTTGGGAGAGTCCTGAATGACGTAGCTGCTAGAACTAAGTGCTACTCTACCTCACTTTTACCAGAAGCAACACCATGCATACCTTTGTGAAACTACAACACAGTTGTACGTAGATGTTAAACAGCTGGACCAGCATGCTACAGACTCAGCTAAATGATCCCAGAACCAATGGATTACGTCACAGCTCTGCAGTCCTGTCACATCCAGTTATGAATGATGGTGGACAATTAAACAACCAGCTGGAGGAGGGTCAAAAAACATCCCTATTCTTAATGATGATGAGGCAAACATATTAGTGCAAATCAAAAGGCTGAAGCTATTGTAACAATCTTCAGCCAGAAGTGCCAAGTAAATGATTCTTCTTGACCTCTTTTGGAGATCTCCAACATCAGAGATGCCATTCTTCAGGCAACTTGATTCACTATGCAATCAATAAGATATTGAAGGCACTAAACACAGCAAAGGTTATAGACCCTCACAACATCATGGCCACAATGCTGAAGATTTCTGCTCCACACTAGCAGTGTCACGAGTCCCGGCCTCTCTGCCAATGTACCTTTGCGATCTGCACACACCAGTTGAGGAGATGCTGAGATCCAATCCGGTCCTTGTTTTCTCGAACATAATCCAGTAGGGAACCAAATGGCATCAGCTGTGTCACCAGCTGAACAGTGGATGTCAGGCAGATTCCAAGCAGACGACAGACGTAAGGACTACTCACTCCCGCCATTATGTATGCCTCCTACAATACACAAAAACAGCTCATAAGTCTGTGCCAATTACCGTTCCTGAACCTCCGCACCTGATGAGTAATTCTAATTCTCTGAGGTGTGGGAATTTGCAAAATTTCATCCTCACCTTCAGAATGAAGCATTAGGAATTAAACCTCCTTTCTACCTTTGGACTCAGTGTTGACTGAACTCAGGGCAGGTACTGAACAGTTATAATATTTCAGTTGCTGTACCGAGGAGACTGCTGATTGTGAGCATTAAAGAGTCTGAGATTTGAAGGGAGCTGAGTACAGGTGTGGTTATCAGCAGGAAAGTGAATGATGTTGAGGAAAGTTGTTGATTTGGAGAAGGAACAGAGTTGGAGCACAGAGCTCTCAGAATTCTTGTATTAATGGGAGGACTCAAAGATCAGACACAAACTACTGACCCAAGGGAACAATGTGAGAGGAGATGTGGGAGGATGTATGATGAGAATGTGTTTGGAAGTGTAAGATTCCAGAACCTGTCAAAGTTTTTGGAGAAATTCAAAGCAACAAAGAAGCTTTATTAAAATGTTAAAGCACTGATCTGCAGAGCTTTGTAAAGAGGTTATAAGTTCACCAAGAATTGATCATGTTGGAAACTAATCTGCTAAATGTTGACTGGAGCAGAACTGTCAAGGTGAAAATAACTGGAGAAGTCAACATCCACTGCAATAATTTTGGAAAATGTCAATGGATGAGAGGGGGCTAGAGTTAGCAGTATGTGGGAATCATCTTCTGTTGATGAATGTGAGGGAAATAGAATAGGAGTTTGGTTATTTCTGGCCTGTACTGATTCCATTTCAAGCTGCGAAGGGAACCTGTCAAACCAGAATTTGGGTGAAGTGCATCTCTGTAAAGCTCCCAATTAGTCATAAGAATAACGAATGACTATACTCCTGTAGCATTTACGAAACTGATTCACCTTGTTTTAATCTGCTGGCTGATATATAACTTGTTATACTTACATCCAGGATATCTTTGTTTGCTTTTGGAGAAGTTCCCTCTCTTAAAACCTTAATAGCAACAGGAATCTTCACATCTTCATCCTCCGGCATCCAGACTCCCTGCATTCAGGAAAATAAACATTTGAGGCCATCAGTTGAGGTCTCAGTGAACCTACCCAAAACAGACTGACAAGGTAATATGTGCAAATCATTCAGAAATGCTACTTTTGCCACATCCTGTCAAGCTATAGATCACACCACTTAATCACCAGGTGGATAAGTGTACGTAAAATTATTTGATATAAATTCTGGAGCTGAGGAGTGGCTCCATAGAATGTGCAGTTGGGAAGCTTCCTAAGTTCTTTAGCAGGACCCAAATGAGGAACCAGCTTGAAACTCAAATGAAATGTAAACTGATGAATCAATTATGTGAAATGTGCTAAGTTGTTTTTCAAGCTCTCACATTTCAGCAATTGTGGCCACCCAGAATTCAACAGAACAGACTGGACCTCAGAGGACCTATTGACCCTCTGTCACCTGACTGACACCAGACTTCAAACCAGTCACTCAGTTAAAGAATGGATGGAAAGAGTGAGCAAGTCGAAGAAATGATCACAATTTCTCCAGGTCCCAATGCACAAGGATCTCTTTAGTCACCTTGTAAACTGTCCCAAAGGCACCAGATCCCAGAATCTTCACTTTCTTCATTTCAGTTTCCTTCAGGATTCGGATATGGGCCTGGTTTGGAACAACTCCACTTGGAGTCAATGGTTCAACCAGCTGAAGAAACAAAACATCAGACAGCAATTTAGACTAGGGATTCACAGGACATCTTGGAGCTTTTTACACTTCTGACCTGAAAAACCCCTTCAAATTCAACACAGAACTGAATATAGAATTAAAAGAATGAGAACTAAATTTTGAATCTACTTTGGGAAGAATTTATTTTTTTCAATCTGATCAACATTGGAATGACCTTCAAGGTAGGGTTCAGAGTCAGTGGTTGTTAGATACAAATCAGGTGAGTTACAGTGCCACTGAATTACTGGTTAAATTGCATGGTCTTACCCATATAAGGAGAACGTGCACCATGAGTGAATATGATGTGGAGCTGAGTCTGCACGTTCACACATCCTTTTCCTGGTTATTTCACTTTGAATTTTCACAATGGTTGGGTAGACTGATAGCTGCAGTTTCTCTAGAGGTTCAATACTTTAGCTCCAGACTTATACTGTGAAAGGAATCAGCATTGGCTTAATGGTAGCACTTTCATCAGTCAGGAGCTAATGTCCCAGCTCTGTAGCTCTCAGCTGAGATTCTCGTGCAGTATTTAGTCGGAAGCGTATTTTTTGAGCAAGTGGGATGGAATGGAATGTGAAGATGGTGTTATTTGAATATTTCAGGGGTAAGGAAAAACTGACCACTCGTGCTTCATTTGGGAGATGCCTGTGAACAGGTGACTTGTGTCACTGGGTCACCCACTGTACCTAACATTACTACTCCCCTTCTCCAACTGATGGTGATTCATGGTGAATTGCAATAGTTTCCCACAAGGAGGACAAGTTTGCTGTGCTAACACTCACCTCTCTTTCCAGGAGTCTCAGCATTGTATGTTTCCGCTTCAGTCGTTTCTTGCGTTTGAACCAGACAACAAGAAGAATCACAAGGACTACAAAGAGTAGTGCTCCCACTATCCCTGCCACCACTGAGGTCACCTGGCTATACAGAAGAGAAGCAGAGAGATCAGTCAAATACAGACATCACCCTTCAAGGACCAAGGACCAATCTTCACTAAAGTAGGTCCTATGATGTCAAGGAGGTCAGCGATTAAATTCTCTCATTAGAACTCATGATATTGGTCAGAGATCTTAGTAATATAGGGAGCTCTTATATGGCTCTGAGACATGCCAAAAATGCTCTTTACCAGAATGTAACCTCTCAAATCTGGAATGCTTGGGACCAAAGCATCTGAGACATACAAAACATTATAAAGCAATAATAAATTTGTTTTATTATCTAAAACAGTCATGAAACATAAGAGATCCAATATGTTACAAAGCAGTTGAAGGGGCAGATAGCAATAACTGTTTGACAGACAGATATCCACAGACTGAATCAGTCAGTACAAGATTTTCAGAGACTTACAATTGTTTTATTATTAAACCATATTGGACAGTACAAGTACCAGACTCACCCTTCCCTTCTGGACCCTTCATCTTTTCAGAAGCTAACTCATGTCCTGGGGAACATCTCAGTTCTTTTTTTTTTTTTGTTTTAAAAATCAATCGATGCAAACATCTCTGGAACAGGTTGAACCTGAACCTAGGCCTCTAGACCTAAGTGATATTCTAAATATCTGAGCTTAAGTGCAAAGTCAACTAAGCCAACATCTTGCTCTCAACTGACTCAAACTATCCCAAATTTATCCTCAAAGAAATCTGCGTTCCTAACATTGTTAACAGTAGCATTGGAAAAACATGCAGTATTATCAACAGGTTTCCAACATTTAACTTTTCTTATCCATCTTACATCTGGATTGCCCCATTTCCCACAGCATTTCCCAATCTCTTTATTTACTTATTCATGAGATGCAGGCACTGTTGAACAAGCCAGCAGTTATTTCCCATCCCTTTGAAAAAGTGGTCATGAGCTGCATTCCTGAACCGCTGCAGTCCTTCAGGGTATAGGGATACCCACAATGCTGTTAGAGAAGGAATTTCAGGATTTTGACTCAGCAACACTGAAAGAACAATGATATATTTCCAAGTCAGGATGGTGAATGGCTTGGAGGGGAAGTTGCAGGTGGTGGTGTTCCCATATATCTGCTACCATTATCCTTCCAGACAGTAGAAATAGCTGGTTTGGAAGGTACGGTCAAAAGAACCTTGATGAATTGCTGCAGTGCATGTTGTAGATGCTTAAGTCAGCTATGCCCCTACATTTCTTGCGGAAGTTTTCTGAACAGCGCAACAAGCATTCTACTCCTCCTGACCTCATTCAGGTACATGGGGTTCTAAAATCCCTGGGCAGGATGTTGCTCTGTGATCATTTCTATTATGTTGCAGAGCCACTCAGTCCAGGAACTGCACGTGCTCAAAACATCACCGTCACCCATGAAAATCCAACCTCATCTGGAATTTGGATTCATTATCAATGCTGACCTAGGAATGAAGAACTGCCAACCTCATAAGTCACGGCTATAAATATTAAACAGATATGCATATTTTCTTCTTGATAAAAAAGTAAATTATGTAGCAATAATCTGACTGGAATGGCAATTGGACAGTGCTACACTGGAATTGTTTGTTCAATTCATCAATGGGACAGTTTAGAAATTGTCTGAATATTGAGGCTGGAAATATCAGCATTTACACATTACTAATACTGGTTATGTTGATGGAGAGGCTGAATCAGCCCATTAAGAGGGAGATGATGAAAGCAGTGCTGCTACCTGTGAACAGGCTCCTCAGGACATCCATCTTCACCAGTTGTACATCTGAAGACAAAACACAATCTTTTAGAGAAAACGCAAACTTGGAGAAGAATTACTAAAGTTCTCACGATTCAGCAGTTGCTATTTACTTACGAATGACTGCAGTTTGTTGGACACAGTTGACAGAAGCCATTTTCATCAGCATATTTCCAAACATGCCCGTGTAACCCACTTGGACATTTCTCCACGCACTGTGTACCGTCCCTATAATGAGCGCATTCCACACAGTCATCAGCCCCCTAATGGTGAAAAGAAAAAGATCAGCAATAATCAATCCTCCACTTAAATCTCCCCATCCACAGAACATAGAACATTACAGCGCAGTACAGGCCCTTCGGCCCTCGATGTTGCGCTGACCTGTGAAACCAATCTGAAGCCCATCTAACCTACACTATTCCATTATCATCCATATGTTTGTCCAATGACCATTTAAATGCCCTTAAAGTTGGTGATTCTACTACTGTTGCAGGCAGGGCATTCCACGCCCTTAGTACTCTCTGAATAAAGAACCTACCTCTGACATCTGTCCTATATCTATCACCCCTCAATTTAAAGCTATGTCCCCTCGTGCTAGCCATCACCATCCGAGGAAAAAGGCTCTCGCTGTCCACCCTATCTAATCCTCTGATCATCTTGTATGTCTCTATTAAGTCACCTCTTAACCTTCTTCTCTCTAACGAAAACAGCCTCAAGTCCCTCAGCCTTTCCTCATAAGACCTTCCCTCCATACCAGGCAACATCCTGGTAAATCTCCTCCGCACCCTTTCCAATGCTTCCACATCCTTCCTACAATGTGGCGACCAGAACTGTACGCAATACTTCAAGTGCGGCCGCACCAGAGTTTTGTACAGCTGCAACATGACCTCACGGCTCCGAAACTCAATCCCTCTACCAATAAAACCTAACACACCATACTCCTTCTTAACAACCCTATCAACCTGGGTGGCAACTTTCAGGGATCGATGCACATGGACACCGAAATCTCTCTGCTCATCCACACTACCAAGAATCTTACCATTAGCCCAGTACTCTGTATTTATGTTACTCCTTCCAAAGTAAATCACCTCACACTTTTCCACATTAAACTCCATTTGCCACCTCTCAGCCCAGCTCTGCAGCTTATCTATGTCCCTCTGTAACCTGCAACATCCTTCCGCACGATCCACAACTCCACCGACTTTAGTGTCATCCACAAATTTACTAACCCATCCTTCTACGCCCTCATCCAGGTCATTTATAAAAATGACAAACAGCAGTGGCCCCAAAGCAGATCCTTGAGGTACACCACTAGTAACTGAACTCCAGGATGAACATTTCCCATCAACCACCACCCTCTGTCTTCTTACAGCTAGCCAATTTCTGATCCAAACCGCTAAATCACCCTCAATCCCATGCCTCCGTATTTTCTGCAATAGCCTACCGTGGGGAACGTTATCAAATGCTTTACTGAAATCCATATACACCACATCAACTGCTTTACCCTCATCCACCTGTTTGGTCACCTTCTCAAAGAACTCAATAAGGTTTGTGAGGCACGACCTACCCTTCACAAAATCGTGTTGACTATCCCTAATCAAATTATTCCTTTCTAGATGATTATAAATCCTATCTCTTATAATCCTTTCCAACACTTTACCCACAACCGAAGTAAGGCTCACTGGTCTATAATTACCAAGGTTGTCTCTACTCCCCTTCTTGAACAAGGGGACAACATTTGCTAGTCTCCAGTCTTCTGGCACTATTCTTGTAGGCAATGACGACATAAAGATCAAAGCCAAAGGCTCTGCAATCTCCTCTCTAGCTTCCCAGAGAATCCTAGGATAAATCCCATCCGGCCCAGGGGACTTATCTATTTTCACACTTTCCAGAATTGCTAACACCTTCTCCTTATGAACCTCAATCCCGTCTAGTCTAATAGCCTGTATCTCAGTATTCTCCTCGACAACATTGTCTTTTTCCTGTGTGAATACTGACGAAAAATATTCATTTAGTGCCTCTCCTATCTCTTCGGACTCCACGTACAACTTCCCACTACTGTCCTTGACTGGCCCTAATCTTACTCTAGTCATTCTTTTATTCCTGACATACCTATAGAAAGCTTTAGGGTTTTCCTTGATCTTACCTGCTAAAGACTTCTCATGTCCCCTCTTCTTAGATCTCTCTTTAGGTCCTTCCTGGCTAACTTGTAACTCTCAAGCGCTCTAACTGAGCCTTCACGCCTCATCTTTACATAAGCCTCCTTCTTCCTCTTGACAAGAGATTCAACTTCTTTAGTAAACCATGGTTCCCTCGCTCGACCACTTCCTCCCTGCCTGACAGGTACATACTTCTCAAGGACACGCAGTAGCTGTTCCTTGAACAAGCTCCACATCTGAATTGTTCCCAGCCCCTGCAGTTTCCTTCTCCATCCTATGCATCCTAAATCTTGCCTAATCGCCTCATAATTGCCTTTCCCCCAGCAATAACTCTTGCCCTGCGGTACATACCTATCCCTTTCCATCGCTAAAGTAAACGTAACCGAATTGTGGTCACTATCACCAAAGTGCTCACCTACCTCCAAATCTAACACCTGGCCTGGTTCATTACCCAGTCCAAATCCAATGTGGCCTCGCCTCTTGTTGGCCTATCTACATACTGTGTCAGGAAACCCTCCTGCACGCATTGGACAAAAACTGACCCATCTGAAGTACTCGAACTGTAGCGTTTCCAGTCAATATTTGGAAAGTTAAAGTCCCCCAAAACAACTACCCTGTTACTTTTGCTCTTATCCAGAATCATCTTTGCAATCCTTTCCTCTACATCTCTGGAACTTTTCGGAGGCCTATAGAAAACTCCCAACAGGGTGACCTCTCCTTTCCTGTTTCTAACCTCAGCCCATACTACCTCAGTAGACGAGTCTTCAACAAACGTCCTTTCTGCCACCGTAATACTGTCCTTGACTAACAATGCTACACCTTCCCCTCTTTTACCACCTTCCCTGATCTTATTGAAACATCTAAACCCCGGAACCTGCAACAACCATTCCTGTCCCTACTCTATCCATGTCTCCGAAATGGCCACAACATCGAGGTCCCAGGTACCAACCCATGCTGCAAGTTCACCCACCTTATTCCGGATGCTCCTGGCGTTGAAGTAGGCACACTTCAAACCACCTTCCTGCCTGCCGGTACACTCCTGCGACCTTGAAACCTTATTCATGACCTCACTACTCTCAACCTCCTGTACACTGGAGCTACAATTCAGGTTCCCATCCCCCTGCTGAATTAGTTTAAACCCTCCCGAAGAGCATTAGCAAATTTCCCCCCAGGATATTGGTACCCCTCTGGTTCAGGTGTAGACCATCCTGTTTGTAGAGGTCCCACGTACCCCAGAATGAGCCCCAATTATCCTTCCAGTTCGATCTCAACCAACACGAAAATTAACTAAAAAAAAAAAAACAACTATGGATGCTGGAGATTTCAAACAAAAACAGAAATCGGTGGAGAAACTCAGTAAGTTTGGCAACACGTGTGGGAAGAAAAGCCGAGTTAACGTTTGAGTCCGATGACTCTTCCACAGAGCCGTTCTGAAGAAGTCACTGGATTCGAAATGTTAACTCTGCTTTCTTCCCACAGATGCTGCCAGACTGACTGAGTTTCTCCATCAATTTTTGTTTTTGTTAAAGACAGAAAGATGATGTCTCATTTAGATAGGAAGCTGCTGAGCCAAACAGGCCAACACCTGCATTTATATAGCATCTTAAGGATAGTAAAATACTCCAAGGTACTTCATAATAGTATAACCTGACAAATATTGACACCGAACCACATTGAGATGTTACGGTAGATTGCCAAAATTCTTGCCCACGAGTTCTGTTCTAAGAATGTCCTATGGAAAGAGACACAGCTGGAGGTTTATGTAGAAAATTCTCAAGGTTAGGGTCACTGCAGCTGGAGGCATGTCCACCAAAGCTACAGCAATGTAAATTGGAGATTGACTTAGACTAGGAGTGAAGCACAGTAGAGATCTGAGGGACATGGGGTTAGATGGGATTACAGCAGAGATAGGGGAAACAAGGCAATACTAGACTCAAACAGGAGGGTAAAAATTTTAAAATGAAAACATTCCTGGGAAAATTCATGTGATTTGCAATCTGTGCTGCACGTGGTCTCACCTGAGATAATAGCTGAGATTTTACAATTGGCTTTAGGACCTCAGGTCAGATGGGAGAAAAACGTGAGGGCCCGAGTGTGATGTCTCAACAGTGAACTGTCATTTCAGGAATTAAACCCAGTTTGGTTCCTGCAACAACTTCAGCAGGAATGTCCAGTAACCAATACAACGCCACTCTGTACTGCAATGAGGTCACAGGACAAAGGCCAGTTGTATTAAATATTTACAACGAACTGGGCACAACCCTGACTTTGTCCAGTTGTTCCCTGAAAGGAAGGTGTAGAAAATTAACCAAACGACAGAAACTAAAAGGGTCGCATATAGAGACAAGGATAAAATTAAGCAAACCATGAATTCTGATTAGACTGTCTGATAGTGAAAAGTTCGGGAGGACTGTAGGAGTCACATAGATTCTACAAGTATCAGAAGAGACAGCACCACACCTTCTCTCATTACACAACCAAAAAAGCAGCTGTGACTTTGAACAAGGTGTCATTCATACATACATACATCATGGAAACAGACCAATCAGTCCAACTAGTCCATGCCAACCATGTTCCCAAACTAACATAGTCCCACTTGCCTGCATTTGGCCCACATCCCTCCAAACCTTTCCTTTTCATGTATTTATCCAAATGTCTTTTAAATGTTCTAACTGTACCTGCATCCATCACTTCCTGTGGCAGTTCATTCTACACACTAACTACTCTTTGTAAAATACCTGCCCTTCGTTCCTTTTAATACTTTCTCCTCTCATCTTAGAAATATGCTCCCTACTTTTGAACTCCCTATCCTCAGGAAAAGACCTTTGTTATTCACCTTATCTATGCACTTCATGATTTAATAAACTTCTAGAAGATCACCTCTCAACTTCCTACGCTCCAAGCAAAGAAGTCCCAGCCTATCCAGCTATTTTTATAACTCAAACTCTCCATTCCTGGCAACATCCTGGTATTTTTTTTCTGAACCTTTTCCAATTTAATAATATCCTTCCTAAAGCAGGGCGCCCAGAACTGCACACAGTATTCCAGAACAGGCCTCACCAACATCCTGTACAACCTCAACATGATATCCCAACTCCTATATTCAAAGGTCTAAGCAATGAAGGCAAGCATGCCAACACCTTCTTAATTGCCCTGTCCACCTGTGACATAAATTTCAAAAAATTTTGTACCTGAACCCCTAGGTCTCTCTGTTCTACAACACTACAAAGGGCCCTACCATTAATTGTATAAGTCCTGCTCTTTGTTTTACCAAAATGCAATACCTCACATTTTTCTAAATTAAGCTCCATCTGCCGCTCCTCAGCCCATGGACCCAACTGATCAAGATCTCCTTGTAATCTTAGATAACCTTCTTCACTATCCACTATACGACCAATTTTGGTGTCATCTGCAAACTTAGTAATCATGCTTCCTACATTCTCATCCAAATTGTTTATGTAAATGACAAACAGAAGTGGACCCAGCATCGATCCCTGTGGAACACTATTGGTCACAGGCCTCCAGTCAGTAAAACAACCCTCCATCACCACCATCTGAGAGGGGTGGGGGGGACACTTACACAAGGAATGACTATATTCTTTAAACCAATTGAGAGATGCATGTGTAGCTGACTAGGCCAGCATTTGCTGCCTGCTTCTAATTGCCCTAAATGGTGATTGTGTGAAACCTTCTTAAACAGCTCCAATTTGTGAGGGAGTAACTGAGAGCAATCACTGTCTACGGCAGAGGACCGTCAGTAAGTTAGTTGGGGCTAGGATATTCCCACCATCAATCTTCGCGAACAAAAACAAAGTTGCTGGAAAGCTCAGCAGGTCTGGCAGCATCTGTGAAGGAAAAAGCAGAGTTAACGTTTCGGGTCCGGTGACCCTTCCTCTTCACAGATGCCGCCAGACCTGTTGAGCTTTTTCAGCAACTTTGTTTTTGTTCCTGATTTACAGCATCTGCAGTTCCTTTGTTTTTTATCAATCTTCCTGATCCCCAAGTGGGGGGCTGAGCATATGCTCAACAAACTAGAGGTACAAAACAAACATGAAGGTAGTATACTGCTTACGAAAGATAGATAGAGATTTCTCCCAATTCTACAGTTCTCTTATTCTGCCTACCCCCTCCCTTAGCCAATGTATCATGTCCCACCACTCCTTTCTTGTGTCCATCCACTGTCTGCCACAGGAATATCTGCCTTGTACTGCTGTACTCTCAATTCCCTGCCCCACTTCTCCTCTCCAATTACTCCTAGTCAGTCTTGACTCAGAGGAGATTCTTTACCATTCCTCTACAGGTCAGGTTTCTGATCTGTGGGAGACATTCCTTGTGACACCGAATACAGGACGACTCACTCAAATACTCTCTCACCATCCTGGAATAAAGAAAAACAAAATGTGAGTTAAAAAACCAGCCAGAAACATCTCTCAATATACCACGCTGTACCCCTACAGACCCCACCAACACCAACTCAACCCTTCTATTTTATTTAAGTAATGCATTCCTACCCCTCATATAAATTGCATGATTCCACACATTCCCGGCCTCGAAAGAACGTTTTACAGGAGATGCAGTTTGTTGGTCCTGGGCCCCAACAGGTGCTGTTTGTACACAAGCTGTGACAAGTGCGCTCTTCAGCTTCTGCAAGGAAAGGGAATGCAGCAGTAAAGAAAACAGGACATTGACCTGTGGCCAGGTGATACTGACACTGGCCTCTCCAGCTCTTTTCACAACTCTGTTGACACCATGAATACCCGAGTCCTACAGTAATTTCAAAAGTGAATTATTCCCTTTTACCTTCTGTTTACTGTACATGTACAGTAACTGAAACTAAGACACAGCTGTACAGTACCAGAGAAAAGTGATTGAGATGGCAATTTTGAACTTTTATATCCAGTAAGTAGATCACTTGACAAAACTGTATGCTTAAAACTTCCAATGTTCCTTAATAAATAAAGTGAATGCTGAACGTTAACATGAATCAATCTACCCTGGCCAGTGTTTCCATCTTTACAAACCATCGAGTACTTCAGTCGACTTTTACATTGTTAGGTCCTTGTTTAACAAGAACATAGGACCAAGAGTAGGCCATTCAGCCCCATCAAGCCTGTCCTGTTCAGTATGATAATGACCAAACAAACATTTTTGCCCATACTATATCCACAACTCTTTGCAATGGGTAATCAGAAATCCATCTCTGCCTTAAACATGTTCAAAGACTGAGTATCCACAGTCCTCTAGGGTACACAATTCCAAAGATTCAGAGCCCTCTGAGTAAAAAGGTTTCTTCACACCTTGGCTAGAAGTGGCAACTCCCTCATTTTTAAATTGCGCTCCCGATTCTAGACTCTCAAACCAGGCGACATCTCACCCACATCTACCCTGTTATCCCTTTAAGTATTTGTAAGTTCCAATGAGATCATCACTCATTCTTTTAAACTTTAGTGAATACAGGCCCAATTTGCCCAATCTGCCCAATCTCACTTCGTAGGACAGTCCCACCATCCCAGGGACAAGTCTGGTAAACCTCTGTCACACTCCCTTTATGGCAATAATACCATTATTGAGATGAGAGATTAAAATGGCACAGTTCTCCATTAATGGTCTGAGTTCCTATTCAATTTAAGCAAGAATGCACTACTCCTGCATTGAAATCCACTTGCAATAAAGGCTATTATTCCAGTAATACGAGGACACTCACTCCACTCAAGGACAAAGGAGGGAATTTATGCGTGGAGCCAGAGGAAATGGGTGAGGTCCTAAATGAGCACTTTGCATCATTATCACCAAGGAGGTGGTCATGGTTGATGGTAAGATTAGGGAGGGGTATGTTGATATTCTGGGGCATTTGATATTAAGAAGTGGTGGTGTTCCACACCTTGGAAAATATGAAGATAAATAAGTCCCGAGGGCATGAATGGATCTGTCCCACAATACTGAGGGAGGCAAGAGAGGACATTACTGAGGCCTTCACAAAGAACTTTGTATCCTCTTTAGCCACAGGCATGGTGCCTGAAGACTGGAGAATAGCCAATATTGTTCCTTTGTTTAAGATGGGCAACAGGGATAATCCAGGAAATTATAGGGCTGTGAGCTTTACATCAGTGGTAGGGAATTATTGGAGAAGACTCTTCAGTATTTACTTGCATTTGGAAAATAATGGACTTATTAGGGACAGTCAGCGTGGCTTTGTGAAGGAGAGGACTTGTCTCACAAATCTGATTGAGGTTTTCAAGAAAGAGACAAGGATGATTAATGAGGGTGGGGCAATGGATGTTGTTTACATGGATTTTGTGAAAGCATTTGATAAGATCCCTTATGGTAGGTTGGTCCAAAAGGATAAGACACATGGGATCCATGGTGTATTAGTAAATTGAATACAAAATTGGCTTGGTTATAGAAGATAGACGGTAGTTGTGGAGGGGAGCTTTTCTGACTGGAGGTCTGTAACGAGCGGCGTTCCTCAAGGATTAGTATTGGGACCTCTGTTGTTTGTAATATGTATAAATCATTTGGATGAAAATGGAGGTGCTCTGATTAGTAAGTTTGCAGGCAACATGAAAATTGGTGGAATTCTGGATAGTGAGGAATGTTTTCGAAGGATATAGCAGAATATAGATCAGTTGAAAAGTTAGAGGGAGAAATGACAGATGGAGTTTAATCCAGACAAGTGTGAAGTGATGCATTTTGGGAGGTCAAATGCAACAGGGAAATATACAGTAAATGGCAGGACCCTTTACAGCTATACATACAGCTTTATAAAGATATGCAGAGGGATCTTGGGGTGCAAATCCATAGCTCCCTGACAGTGGCACCACAAGTGGATAAGGTGGCTTGCCTTCGTTGGTCAGGGCATTGAATGTAAGAGTGAATAAGTCATGCTGCAGCTATATGAAACTTTAATTAGGTGACATTTGGATTACTGTGTGCAATTCTGGATGCCAACTTTAGGAAGGATATGGAAGTTTTGGAGAGGGTGCAAAAGAGGTTTACCAGGATGTTGCCTGGATTGGAGTGCATTAACTAAAAGGAGAGGTGGCCAAACTTGGAGGCTAAGTGGTGACCTGATAGTTTTATCTTAGTCTATGAGAGACATGGATAGGGTGTACAGTCAGATTTTTTCCCCAGTGTGGACACGTCAAATACTAGGGGACAAGGTTTAGGTGAGAAGGGGAAAGTTTAAAGTAGATGTGCAATTTTATTTTTCCCCCCCACAGAGGGTGACAGGTGGCTGGAACGTGCTGCCGGGGGTGGGGGGGCAATTTGGTAGAAGCAGATATGAAGCAGAATTGAAGACCCATTTAGACAGACAGAAATGTTGAAATACAAAGATATATAGGGAAAGAACTGCATAGCCAAAGTGGATACCAATGGTGGAACAATTAAAATTGGGGATACTCAAGAAGCTAGAATTATGGAAGTTCATTTGTCTCAGAGGTTTGTGGGCTGAAGGAGAATCCAGGAGATAAGGAGCAACAATGCCTTGAAAGGATTTATGGTATGTATGGAAATCTTCAAAATCTCAGCAATGTTACTGTCACCCAATAAACAATCTGTTTATGCTGAATTGAAAAATGTAAGTGAGTGCCTCACTTGTTCCAACTTCTTTTACAGAAACGATTCGGCAACCAGAATAACAAGATTAGACAACTTGTCCCAGTGGATGTTCCTACTTACTACAGATATCCTGTGGTTTGTTGGCCGTTATCAATGCCTCTTGATGCTCCTCCTTAAATAGCTGGTTCCAGGGGATAGAGTTGACATAGCAGAGGTTCGGGTTTTGGTGAACGAACACCAGCCCGTTACTAATTTCTTTCAGAGAGCGCAAACCCAGGGACTGTATCTGGAGATTCTGCACCAACAATGCATAAGCACCTCTGTAACCAGAAAGGCAGCCAAATCAAAATTTAGAACCAAGTTATAAACTGTGTCCTAATCGTATTAAGATTTTAAAACATTGTATTTTACAACTGACACTCCTTGGTATAAGTGTAGCAGTAATTGCAAAACTCAGGTAAAGTACATAAGAATGGCGATTAAAGGGAGTGGTGGGGGGGGGGTGGCGGTGCGGTGCGTACACAGCAATCAGGGCACATGCACACAGCAGCCTGCATATGTTTGGCAATGAAGCGGATGGAACATGAATGGGGGTGATGAAGAGAGAAAGAGAAAAGGAGATGGTCCAAATGCAGTGATCGGTCAAAACTGAATCTCACCTGTATAGCACTCGCGCTCGGATTACAGCAAGGTTCTCAAATACGTTGAGGTCAGTAAAATTCTGTGGCCATGCCTCGATATATAAATACCCTGCAGAGTCAGAGCAATTGCGTTAAAACACATCAAAAACACAGCACATTGCACGGACCAGGTTCAGGGCATCAGGTAGACTAATCTGTAAAAGCATGATTCAGGATGGAATTTTTTTAAAAAGTCATTCATGGGATGTGGGCATCGCTGGCCAGGTCAGCATTAGCCACAGGGCAGTTAAGAATCAACCACATTGTTGAGAGTATGGAGTCACATGTAAGCTAAACCAAGTAAGGTCAATATTATCCTTCCCTAATGGACATGAAATGGTTCTGGTGTTAGTGTTGATATTTCCAAGTCTTGGCTTTATTCAATGTGGTTGAGACAGTGAAGAGTGATCACATCAGACGTTTTGAATGGACAGGAGTCTAAATAGGAAGATGTTCCTTTCACTGACTGGTGAATTAGCAAAAAGGGTATCACCTTGACTTTAGCACAATGGTCACAGCTGCATACAGTGTTCAATTCTGTGTGCCACACTTTCGAAAGGATGTCAAGGTGTTGAGAGATTGCAGAAAAGATTTACAGGAATGGTGGCAAGGTAGCAATTATATACAGAGGCTGGAGAAGTTAAGATTGTTTTTCTTCAAAAAAGAGGGGATTTATTACAACTGTTTGAAATCATTAATAGTTCCAATAGAATAAATAAGGAGAAAAGGATTCCCAGTGGCCAACAGTAGGTAACCAGAAGATATATATCTGACATCCTTCCTGAAGCGTGACATTCAGAATTGAACATCGTACTACAGAGGACACAAAAGTCAATGTTGATTTAGGTAACTAGGCAAGAACCAGAAGAAAGGTGGGGAAATATTATTTTAACATAGCAAGTTATGATGACCTGGATTATGCTACCTAAATGAAGGAAAGATGCAAATTCAACAGTAAATTTCAAAAGGCAATAAGATAAATTCTTGAAAGGGAAATACAATTTGCAGTGCTATGGGGAAAGAGCAAGACTGATTGGATAGCTCTTTCAAAAGCCAACATGAGTACACTGGGCCAAATGGCCTCCTTCCCTAAACCTGCAAAAGGAGGAGAAGAGAAGATGGCCTTCATGCAGAAAATGGCAGTATTATCACACAGAGTTGCTGGTTTCAGTTAATCACAGCCTATCAGGAAACAATTGGAGAAATAAAGAGTCCATACCAGTGATCTCTGTCAAAGGAGCAAAGACCTGAAGCTTCCTTGGATCCAGAGGGGGAGTCTTTGTAGCTGGGTCACTGAAAAGGCAAAAAATAAATACTGAGCCTATTAGTACAGTGACCGGTTCCACTGCACCAACAAGGAACTATTTTGCCTCATCTGTGGACATTCAAGAACCACCAGCAAGGGGCATACTTGACAGGAAAATCCAATAGTGGGTATCAGCAGAAAATTAGACAGAGGTCTCACAGCCAAATCCAATCCTGCCTTCACTAATCTGTTATGTAAGACACATTCATGCTTTCATCATTACTGAGATTAGAGTGGACATTTGTTGCATTGACAGTGATATACTGAGCATCTCTACCAGCCAGACTAAAAGCTGGGAGTCAGTCCTGATGTGTGGTACCTGGTCTCTTTCAGAGAGAGGAGACTGTGTGTAAATTGTGTGAAGGCAAAGCGCGGGAGGAGATTAGAAGTTAGATTTTCAGATGACCTTGGTGCAAACTGGAAAATGACAGTGAGCCATATTTTCTGCTACATGTTTAGTTTAATTCAAATTATGCAAGGTTCTGGAGATCTACCCTGGAAATGGACAGTGTGTCCAAGCAACTTATTACTGGAGGGAGCAAGTGAACACGCAGAGTCAAAGGATGGAATTAAGGGAAAGATCAGGGGTCACAATTGGAAACACTCACCCAGAGAAGGTCTCAGTAAGAAACACCAAGCTTCCAAAGATCTTGCTGCAGCCAGTGAAGGAATCAATGTTGTTTGAGTTCACAGCCCGCACTCCCTTCAGACTGTTTACACCCAAACCATTACACACTAAAAGACAAGATAACTTAGTGAGAAATATGCAGATAAGCAGCCAGTACCAAACAACTTCAAACAGACAGCATATTGGTTTTGTCTAAAAAAAACAAAGTAACCAACTCAATTGAGGGCTTACTCATACAACCGTTAAACTGGTTCTAGAACACACTCGGCCAATAGAAGATTGCAACAAAAATCAGGTTTCCTTTTTGACTTCCCACAGTTTCTCGACAAAGCTGAGTGATCTTTCCCAATCTGACTCTGCACATTGGCTGTAGGGTAGAATGCAAACCCCTTCATATCTCAGACCAGGACCTCAGACGCTTCTTCAACAGATTATCATTAAACCTGGGTCCACTTTACACATGTCACTAACAAAACCAGAGTCACAGTCACAGTTCACAGATTCACCCACACTCAGCAGAAATGGATAACTCTTTAGGGTCATCTCACCAATCCCATCCAAGTGCCAAACAGGAACTGTTAACTGCTCACCTCAACAAATTTGATACTGACCTTTGGGACAGGGGGTATTGCACCTTTCGCATTTATGTTCACCCCCCCTGTTCAGTTCCCTGGTGTTGTTTGGACAGTTCAGAGTGCATGAGCCCACATTGGTCGCTAAATAATTATCTGTGAGAGTGAACATGGACAGCAAAAGGTTGCCAGGAAGGTAGGGAAAGAGACAGGGGAGAGGAGATATATTACAACATGATCAAAGATAAATTTGACAGGAATAAATGAGGAATTAAAAACTTAAAAATTAAAAGAATTAAAAATATAGGAAAAACAACAGGATCTTACGTGGGCACTTTTTGACACAGCTGGCTCCAAAGATGTATCTTCCTTCAGGATTTGGCTTCAGATAGTATGCATGAGGTGTGTAAATATTGAGCGGCGGACAGTCCCCCCGACATGTTCCACCATTGCTGAAATAGTGACAGGCCTGGAGGAGATGAACAAAGTCAACTTGGCTGCACACCAGGATCACTCTAACCCAAGACGTGGAGCTGGTGTTGTGCATTACACCCAGGACAGGGTCACATGGGTCAAAAAGACAGGAACTATCCAGAAAATGATGTTATTAACTTACTGCACACACTGCCCCTTCTGGGACAAAGCATAGTGTACAGCAGAGACCAAAACTGAGCCAACTAGAAGACAAGAGCTCCACCTCTGATGTCTGGAATAACATCCCTTGGGGCCTTTGCTGTGGGTGACCCCCACTCACCCACCATCCACCCACACCCTCTTCACCATTATAACTGTTTGTGAGCGTACAAAACACCATCAAAAGGACTAATCACCCTTTTGCTAGGCTAAAGATGGTTGTGAATATGGAATGGAAGTTCACGTTGTGAGCTATCAATCTGTTAATCAGTCTGTGGATGCTTATACAGCTCCGCCAGGGAAAAAAGTGATGCTATGAAAACACCATACCTCTCTTTGAGACATATGAGATTTTTAAGAGATTTTATAGGGTAAATGTTGAGAGGATGTTTCCCTCTTATGGGAGAGTCTAGGACCAGAGGGTACAGTTTCATAATAAAGAGATGCAAATTTAAGACTCAGATGAAGAAGAATTTCTTCTCTCAGAGGGATGTGTGTCTTTGTAGCTCCATGCCACAGTGAGCTGTGGGGGCAGAGTCCAGTGTATATTTAAGGCTGAAATAGATAGATTATTGATCAGTAGGGATATCAGGTTAGGGGAAAGGGATGTGAGGAATGCTGGAACAGCCATGATCCTATTGAATGGTAGAGCAGGCTCACAGGGCCAAAAGACCTACTCCTGTTCCCATTTCATATGGCCCCCTGAAAGAATTTAAACTTCTACTTAATTTTATCTACTGTTAATGATACTACCTCCAGGTGTGCACTTACCAGGCAGTCAGTGTCTTTTGGTCCAATGCAGCCCGCAGCACACTGGCTGTGGCAGCAATCAGTCGGGTCTCGTCCTCTACATCGAGACAGACACTCGCGGGCACAAATCTTCCGAGTCACTGAAACACAGAAATATCAAGTCTGCAACGCACCAACCATGCTAAAGAATCAAATTCAAATTGAACCTTACAAACATGGTGCATAGTTGGGAACAAATGCATAACAGGACCAGATGCACAGGCATAAATGGGAATCTCACCAGTTTGACCTTCCACACCAACCACAGTGACATCAGCAAACCTGATCCTGGGAGAAATGTCTTTCTCCACCCAGAAATTTAGCATCAATAACCTCCAAAAGGTCAACAATAGGCCATTCACACAGTCCATTCAGAGTTGAGAAGATTGAGAATTACTAGAACACAAAGTGCTGAAGAAACGCGAAATTGCATGAAGATTGTAGTGTGATTTCAACAGAAACAATTCACTGGACTGTCACTCACATATCTGGCAATATTTAGGACCTGATCCCCAGCATGATCCTGATTCACAGGCAGGACTACAACTATCACCTGTGAAGGAAAGATAGAGATAGCATTAAAATAATAATGATACAGGGAACACAGTACCCATAGCCCTGAGTAACAGCTCCAACACCCAATGCACTTGTTTAGGGAGATATGAATTCTCTCCATTTCACCAAATATACTCACACTGCGCTGTCCGGTTTGAGTCCACTGATCCTACAAAAGGAAACATGTTGTTCTTGTCCTGAATGTCATCCCACTGGATGGTCTCTTGGTAACAGAGCCAAGGATTATCGCTGATCTGAATATTCCCCACCAGGATTTCTGTCAAACACACATTTACATTATAAACTGTCCCATAGGATTACCCCCAAACCCCCCTACCTTTTGGTGAAGTGTAAAACACAAGTCACTAAGTTCAGTAAAATTGTTTCAGGTGAGAACATTTCCAGCAAGGCCAGCATTTTATACCCATCCCATTGTTTCTTTAGGGAGATGGTGGCAAGCAACATAAAACAGGAGGTTTGCTTGCGCATTTCAGAGAATGGGAACATGTTAAGACTGCAGCACTATAAAGTTAATTCAGTTTATTAATCTATGGCCAGCACTCTTCCAAACTTCAGTTCCCAGTCCCACATATCCCTGCACCCTCCTCTAAATTCTGAAATCAAAGGAGCCATGAACCAGCCTCATGCTCCCAGTCAGAGTCAGGCTCAAAGGGAGCCTTGGTTTGAATTGTGAACGATACCAATGAGAAGGTTCTCCAACCTCATCAGGGTTGGCTTCATTACACGCTCAAGACAGTGGAATTTACAACAGTCTCGCTGCACTCTGTCCAATTTAAACCACTTGCTCAGTATCTCAATAATATGGTAACCTCAGCAATCTCAGTCTCCTCAACTTTGTCAGGATGTAATGACAGTTTTATGATTTCTTTGTCTCCTTTCCTCCTCCTTTCAGTTTGCTGATCTACTGATGCCAACACACCCCTTTGGACTTGTCACTGCTCTTTATTCCAGCTTTATTGTTATTCACAAGTGAAACATCCAATTCATGTGAAAAGAACCCCTTACCAGGTTGTCAGAATGGGAATCCTCAACTGAGATCAAAATTATAACTCAGGGATTCCTCCAAGATGCAGAAGAGTTTTTTTTTAAATTCACTTGTGGGACACAGGGATTGCTGGCTGGGCCAACATTTACTGCCCATCCCATATTGCCCTTGAGAAGGTGGCAGTGAACTGCTTTCTTGAACTGCTGCAGTCCAAGTGCTGCAGGTAGACCCACAATGCCCTTAAGGGAATTCCAAGACTCTGACCCAGTGGCACTGAAGAAATGCTGAATTGCTGCGAATACCTCAGCCTTATCTTCTGCACTAATGTGCTAGGTTCTCCCATCCTGGAGGATGGGAATATTTATGAAGGCATCTCCTCCAGTGAGTTGTTGAATTGTCCACCATCATTCACGACTGGATGTGGCAGGACATCTGAACTTAGATCTGATCCATTAGTTGTGGGATCGTTTAGTTCTATCACTTGCTGCTTGTGCTGTCTGGCATGCAAGTAGGCCTGTTTGGTAGCTTCACCAAGTTGACACCTCATTATTAGATATGCTTGGTGCTGTTCCTGGCACGCCCTCCTGCACTCTCCATTGAACCAGAGTTGATCCCCTGGCTTGACAGTAATGGTTGAGTGGGGGATATGCTATGCCATGTGGTTGCAGATTGTGTACTGTTGTACAGTTCTGCTGCTGTGATGGCCCACAGTGTCTCATGGATTCTCCATCTTCAATTGCTAGATCTGTTGGAAGTCTGACCCAGTTAGCATAATGACAGTGCTACAAAATACAATGAACGGTAAATTCAATGCGAAGATGGGACTTCATCTCCACAAGGACCATGTGGAGGTCACCCCTTGATAGTGCTGCAGATAGATGCATCTGCAGCAAGCAAATTGGCAAGAATGAGGTCAAGTATGATTTTCTCTCTTATTGGTTTCCTCAACACCTGCCGCAGACTCAGTCTAGCAGTTATAGAATCATAGAAACCCTACAGCATGGACCAAGGCCATTTGGCTCAGCGAGTCCACACCGACCCTCCGAACAGCATCCCACCCAGACCTAGTCCCTGACCCTATTGCCATAACCCCGCATTTAGCATGGCCAATCAACCTAACCTGCACATCTTTGGACTTTGGGAGGAAACTGGAACACCCAGAGGAAACCCACGCAGACATGGGGAGAATGTGTAGACTCCACAGAGACAGTCATCCAAGGCTGGAATTGAACCCGGATCCCTGGCTCTGTGAGGAGCAGTGCTAATCATGCTGCACAGTGTAGTTTAGGACCCGAACAGCTCAATCAGCAGTGCTGCTGCTGAGCCACTCTTGGGGTGGGCATTGAAATTCCGCAGCCAGCATACATTTTGTGCCCTTGTCACCCTCAGTACTTCCTCCAAATGTTGTTCAACATTGAGGATTGCTGATTCATCAGCTGGTTGAGAATACAAGATGGTAATCAGCAGAAGGTTTCCTCGCTCATGTTTAACCTGAAGTCATGAGACCTCATGGGGTCAGAGTCAATGTTGAGGACTCAGGACAACTCCCTCCCCACTGTATACTATTATCATAAATCATAGAATCCCTACAGTGTGGGAGCAGGCCCTTCGGCCCAATAAGTCCACACTGACCCTCAGAGCATCCCACCCAGACCCATACCCCTATAACCCACCTAATCTACATATCCCTGAACACTATGGGCAATTTAGCATGGCCAATCCACCTATCCTGCACATTTTTGGACTGTGGGAGGAAACCGGCGCACCCGGAGGAAACGCACACAGACACAGGGAAATCACGCAAACTCCACACAGACGGTCGCCTGAGGGTAGAATTGAACCCGGGTCCCTGGCGCTGTGAGGCAGCAGTGCTAACCACTGAGCCACCATGCCACCACCTCTGCTGGGTCTCCTCAGCCAGTGGGACAGGAGATATCCAAGGATGGTGATGGTGGTGTTTGGAACATTGTTGCTAAGGTATGATTCTGAGTATGATTATCAGGCTGTTCCTGACTCATCTGAGACAGCTCTCCCAATTTTGGCGCTAGCCCCCAGATTTAGCAAGGAGGACTTTACATAGTCGACAGGCTGTTTTTGCCATTGTCACAGAATCATAAAACCTCTAGTACTGAAGTAGGCCATTCAGCCCATTGTGTTCGTACTGACCCTCCAAAGAGCATCCCACCCAGACTGACTCCCCTGCCCTATCCTATCCCTGTAATCCCCATGGCTAATTCAACTAGCCTGCACATTCCTGGACACAATGGGCAATTTAGCATGGCAAATCCACCTAACCTGCACATCTTTGGACTGCGGGACGAAACCAGAGGAAACCCATGTAGACACAGGAAGAGCGTGCAAACTCCACAGACAGTTGTCCGAGGGTGGAATCGAACTCGACTCCCTGATGCTGTAAGGCAGCAGCTCTAACCACGGAGTTGCCATGCTACCCATTTCTGGTGCCTATGTCGATGCCTGGTGGCCCATCTGGTTTGATTTCTCTGATACTTCATAGTGACTGATACAACTGAGTGGATTGCCAGCCCATTTCAGAGGATAGTTAAGAGTCAACCACAATGTTGTGGATCTGGAGTCGCATGTAGGCCAGACCAGGCAAGGATGACAGATTTCCTTCCCTGAAGGACGTTAGTGAGCCAGATGGGATTTTCTGACCATCAACAATCGTTTCATGGTCACCAGTCAAACCTGAACTCCAGACTTTTTTTTATTGAATTCAAATTCCACCATCTGCTGTGGTGAGATTCGAACTCATGCCCCCAGAGCATTAGCTGAATTTCTGGATTAACAGTCTAACAATAATATCACAAAGTCATTGCCACCCCTTCCTCCCCACTTATGTGGGTCCTTTGGGGTGTGTGGAACCATGGGTGGTGAATGGACTCTCTATGGTCCCGATGCGACTGTTGACCGGAGTGAACTGCCCTCGGTGCGCCTCAATTGCAACTCATTGCCGAGTCAGGCTGAGCTGGTGCCAGTGGTCTGCAGCAATGTCACAGTAATCCACCTGACTTGTCTTGGAACACAGACCAAAGAGTCGAACACGTGTACGAGTCAAAGGGCGGTCACACTCCTCCATGATGTAATCAAGGTCAAGGTCGGTACGGGCTGACCGAAGGGGCCAAGTCCTCCTGATCAAGGCTTAACCTGGGAATGGTGTGAAGCTGTTGCTGGCGTGTGGCTCATTGGTATGGTGTCTTCTCAGAGTCAAGTCACTTGTAAACTCTAACTAAAGCTAAATATCGGCACAAGATCGATAGTTGACAAGTACCATAAGGGAAAGTTAAAAAGATCTTTGAAGAGAAAAGTATTATGCAAACTGTAAATTCCAGGGATAGTTCCGTCCATTTTTTGATCATAACTGACACAGACAAGAGAGCTTTTGAAATCTGCTCTTGGGTTATTTGGGGAGTGTTGAACTGCTATAAATCAGCTTTTCTATTATGAATCCCAAATCTGCGTCGATGTCAGAACTGGGACAGGAGGGATTAGTTTACAGAACCAAGACAGCAAAGAACCAAAGACAGCAGATTGTGCAAAGACTCTGACCTGTTAGACTTCTCATACGAAGCTCTCGGAGACCAGCACCAGTTGAATTAAAGTTAGACAGGACAGTCAGTGCAAACTGACCCTCATACAACTGGCTTCCTCGTATGATGCGTAGGTTTTCCAGAGGAATGTAGTCGACTGCATTGTGTGCTATTAAAACATAACCTTGGACTTCTTGAATATTCTGCACAGAACAAGAAAGCACAAAATGCATAATCAAATACTTGGAACTTGTAACAAGTACAGAGTTCATCAATAGACAGATCCCTTCACCATTAGTGAGTTTAGTTAGGAGTTACTCATTAAGACAGCAGGAAAGCCAAGATTCCATACCTGCTCTACACAGATCTCTGCCTTGGCTCCTGAGTATGATCCAGTGCTTCCTGCTGATCCTTGCCCTTGATCAGAAAGCATAAACCCAAGAATTCCACCAAAAGCATGACTGATTCACTGTGTTGATAACTTTAGTAGAACCATGGATAAAAAAATTAAATCTGACACTTGGGAGGAGTGAGACTGAGTCCCAAGGTGTAAAGCCCTGTCCTGAATGAGAAGGAATTGTGGTGAGGAGAGGAGCCACACACCACGTGGGACCAAGCTTCAAGGAGCAGGGGTGCCCTGCCCCAAGTGGAAAGGGAGCTACACTGAAATGAGCCATGTCCCACCCTAATTCTTTGCTGAGCTGTCCTCAGTTAGTCCACACAAATGTTGTCAAGTGCCCTGGATCCTACAGGAGAGGGAAATAAATCAGTTCATGCCAAGTCTAGTGACTGTAGTGAAAAAGCACTAATAAAGACATAAATGTCAGGGTCCAGGTATGGAATTAGCACATTGGAAGATCCCAGAAAGTGAGAATCCAGACCTGGAGTGGACCCAGAAATTACAAACTGATTTAATTTTTCCCAAACAGAGAAGCCAGCGTACACTCTTATTTCTATGTTACCTGTAGGAAGGATAGGTTGAGGTTCCCTGTAAGGTGAGTGATCTCTAGGTTGCCCTGTACCTCATGGCAGTTCTCATACTGTTTGCGCAGTGTGTAGTAATGGTTCTCTAAACTGAACGACAACTCCAGCTTCATGTCTGTCCCAGGACAAACTGAAGAAAATAGGAAGAGAATACAGGTATGAATTAGATTAGTGTCAAATTTACCGTACACCTTTCACTGTAACACTCATATACCCCACGGGTATACTCCTCTCTATAACACTCGCATACCCCACTGATATACCCTTAACTGTAACACTGGTATACTCCACTGATATGCCCCTCACTGTAGCACTGATGTTTTGACCCTCAGATTACTGAATTTGCAGGTCTCATTATAGATAGTCATAGGTTGCTTTTCTAAATAGTTGCCCACAAAAGGCTTAATTTTAACTTGAATTTGGCAGCGGTGCTTCTCACTTACCGCGGGAGATGGAGAGCTGACCTAAGCTAAGGTCCCTGCACAGTAGTGCCAGAGAGACAACACCAGTCCAGAAAGTAACAGTTTGAGCAAACATCACAGAAGCTACAGAGACACTGCAAGTATAGTCTGAGGCAGAGAGACTGGCTTCCTGCTCTCAACGTCTCACTGCTATATCTGTGGTAAATACCATCTCAGGTCAGTCCAGGACAGGAGGCAACCTTCAGTACCCAAGCCATTAGTGGACTAACTGGGTTATTCCTTCCTGGACATAGATACAGAGAGAATGAAAGCTAAATGAGACACCTTCCGCCAGCCTGTTACTGATAGACTCTCACATTCTATACTTAAAGTACCAGTTAATTCCAGTGGATCAGGTGTCCAGAGGCAAGAGGAGCTCCACACTTCAAGCCTGGGATCAGCACAACACTCTCCATTGGACTAGGGGAGACGGAGAGCTGAGAGTAGGTACGACACATAGGGCAACAGTAAAAACGTGTAGAAAATGAAGGAGCAGCAATGATAGGGTGAAGGAATAGCAGGCAGGGGCAACTCCAGGGTCTGAAATGTACTAAATGACTTACTTCTGCTCCTATGTCATATGATCTAATTGTGGGGTATTTATACTCAAATAACAACCTTTTGATCCTGTGAAAAGGATTATAAAAACATGTATACACTTGCAAAAATTGACAAGCCAGTGTAAGGGCAATGCCAATTCCCTGACCCAGGATAATAATGCACTGCCCAAGATGTTGATGAATGCTGTGCTGACATTAACAGCCAGTCAGAATCCCCATTCCATTGCTGTTCCCACAAAGCCTGTCTGATTATATTACACACTAAACTCAGCAGTGCTTTAAACAGAACCCAACTGTGTCTCCTATCACTTCCTGCTTGTCTAATTCAGCTACTGCTGACAATACATAGTGCCCCAAATAAATCACATATGTTGTGAGAGATCAGAGTAAGGGTAATTCACTGTGCAACTGTACAGAGTCAGTGTTTACTCAGGTTAAGTGTTCCTCACTACGTAAATGGGCAGAGTCAGTGTTTGTTCACCCTGCAGAATCTGGATATAGGATGGCTCATTTGACATTTATCTACCACTTGCAATTTGGGAACTTAATGCAAGTAATGTAAAATAATGAGACAACACCTCCAATTCCCAACACCAGCACTCTGACAACACCAGCTTAGGGTTACTAAAGACAACAAGGTGCAGGGCTGGATGAACACAGCAGGCCAAGCAGCATCATAGGAGCAGAGAGGCTGACGTTTCGGGCCTAGACCCTTCATCAGAAAAG